CGTTCGGAGGTGTTGGGAGGCTAACTGTCGGAACAGTTCGGGCCTCTTCCTTGGCAGTGCATCCGACATCTGAGCCATTCTCATTGAGAAGGTTGCCCGCCCCTGTGATTATGTCCAGCTTCTGATTCTCAATTCTGAGAACCTTGAGCCAAAACTTAGACGGTCAGCGCTATGAAGTGCGAATAATATTAAAATTTTCACGCTTACTATGAACATACGAATATTAATGTCACTTCCACGTGGACAGTATACAGTGGATACCTTCCAGTCAAAGGTATGTTTAAATTGAAATCAAATACGCACTACCTACTACACTAGACTGTACACTGTCTCTGCTTCTGCAAACCCCCTACTACCAGCATTACTTATCTACAAAGACTAGATTCAGAAATTGCGGTAGCCAAGTCATTGTAGCCAAGCAGTTCTTGCCTAGCTTGCTCCTTAGATTTCACAAGACAGCCTATATGGCCTTAGATGAATTAACAACGAAACCGCTACAACGTCTGGCTACAGCTAGAGCTTCTGGGATAGACCGCCCGATTCCAAGCCAGCCGACAGCTGTCGCACACTTCAAGCCAGGAGCTACAAGCCAGGAAGCGCACGTACCAACCTTTTGAAATGATGACGATGATTATAACTTAACTACCACTAGTCATCAGTCATGAACCCTGAATGTTATTGTTATTGTTGCTGAATGCTCCTGCCCCAAAAAATGCTTATCTGTTTAGGGTTTAGGTCGAAGTAACATCTTGTTGACGTTGATAATGCAAGGAGATCTCTCTTGAACATTAGAATTAGAATGGGGAACCAACAGGAATCTCTCATCAACTTGCAACTGCACAGAGAAGACTTCTCAAGCCCCAAAGATTCCTACTTGATGTGAGCTACGCAGCTGACCCCCCAAACCCTGACTCGCTGACTCCTGCTCTACACTACGAGGACGACGAGGACGTGTCCTCAGAGTCCGAACCACCTTCGCTGGAACAGGTCGGCCTTGCGAAGTGTCTCCCTGCTTCTGCGGGACGGGAAGGACGGAGGGGGCCAAGAGCGCGTAGATTGTCACCGCCTTCGTCCGGCAGATGAATGTGCGTCTCTGTCACACCGTTCAGGTAGGTGTGTGTCGAACCCTGCCATCGATGGCGATGCTGTCGGTGGAAATAGTTGATGCGGCGGTGATTCTCATGGTGCGTGTTCCGAAATGTGGGCTCCACCTTGTGTACTGATATGACTGAGGTGGACCTACAATGACACTCTTTGACGTTTCAAGTTTGAAATTCTTATTAATCCCCCAGTGAGCCCACTTTGCAGGTCATTCGGGACACAATATGACAATATGACAATATGTGGAAGGCAAGGTTAGCAGAACTCGCCTCGTGGGTTTCGAATTCGTACACCTTTGTATAATAGTGTCGGCGATGCGGGCCTTCCTCAGGCCCCCCGCAGACCTCTGCGAACGCTGCCACGGCCTCCCGAACTGCTTCCTCTACTCCGTCCTCATAGGCAGTGTGAAGGCGGCGGCTACGAGGACGACCGCGAGGGGATCGAGATCGGGAACTTGACTCCGCGGGCCTTTGAGCCGCAGCAGCTGTCGGCCCAGCCAACACGCGCGCCGACACTTCTTCAACCTCATTGCGGGGACGATCAGTCAGTGCCAGGGTTGGCTGAGCCTGCTGCTGCAAGGGACGGATATGAAGGTGGTAATGCACCACATACACCGGTGCAAAATACAGGTTGCTGCGCTGATGGCGGTGGTGTATGTGTTTGATGTGGTGGTGGTTGTAGTGCCTGTGGTTCTCGTGGTAGTGAGTGTGATGCATACGATGGTAGTGGCGACGATGGTAATTGTAGATGTTGGTGTACGCGTTCATGCGGACCCAGTTTGCCATTGGTCTCCGGGCCCCTGCGACATATTGGTCCTCTGACAAAGACCCATCTGAGTCCATGAATCCATCTGATGAGTTCTCACCAAAATTGCTCTCAGCATCTGCTGGCGACGCTGCGTGGAATGACATGGCTGACATGGCTGCCATCACACGTGGGCTGGGTCTTCTGACCACAGCAGCGCACAAGCGCGATTGTCCACCTAGAACGCTTGCCTAAAAACCTCCTGCGAAACATATTCAAATCTGATGCCAGTACCAATACCTCACGATTGTGTGAAGCACTGAGTACATCATCTGCGCGTCAACAAGTCACCCTAAGATTGTACACGACTAGACAAGACTATGACTATGACTATGACTATGACTATAACTTATAAATTATAACTTACCAAGTTATAATTAGTTATAATTATAACTTCACCGACTACACTGCAGGGCGGCGCGGCAAGGCAACAGTGTACAAGGCGCGGCGAACCTCCCAACTCTGCAGCACACCTCTCTGATTCAAGGCCAGACGCAAGGGTAGCGGCGTGGAGACCGGCAACTTCGCGCCAACAAGCTCGTCCTTGTCCTCACAAAGTGCGCTAAACAGAGATCATGTTTCTACTGCTCCGCCTCTCTAGTCTATAAACTACTTATGCCCTGCCTGCGGGTTCCCCGACCAGTCGTGCTCACTCCGATCAACATAATCGCACAGCCCTGCTACCGTGCCAGGGTCCAGTCGGCCACGCAGCCCCACAAAGGCATCCTCAATCTGCTCCTCAACTGCACACGCGAAAGCAGAAGTTCTTTTGTAGTGTCAGTGGAAGCCGCAATGCACGTAAAGAATTTCCATGCTCTTGGGGATCAAGGGCTAGGGGGGTTGGTCCCAGAGTTTGTAGATTATGGGGAAACTTTAGGAAGCAGTGAGCAACGAGAAATTACTAGGCTACCCTAGGCTACCCTTACTCACCCCACTTGCCCCCCCCCCCCTTTCTTTGCAGTCCAGCGGCCTGTGCGCTTGGATTCGCAGCCACCACATCCTCACGCAACATCACCATGTAGATACGGTGTCTCGCTTGCGGGAGACCATAATCTGTTGACCTAGGGCAGGGCATTGCAAAGCCGTAAGTGGGTCAATCTCTGGGGTGGCACACAAGACAGTCAGCACATTAACGCGCATAACATGGCATCCAAGAATCTTGACACGGTGCACCTTGACCGTATACCCCGGAATATCTGCCAAACCAATACTCTCCATGTTCTCGCCACCACGCCCACGCAGGCTGCCGTGCAGTAAGGAGTCCAGCGGCGTCTGGCAAGATGGCACACGAAACAACAACAAGCATGAACCTCTACGCCTGAAATAAGTGCAGCGCTTGATGGATCCTCTTTCTTCGAACGCGTGACAACCCGTCTGGCTCAGTGAGCACTCCATCCCAACCGTGACTGAGTGGCTGCAGTTCTCTGCAACACATCACAATGGTTCCAGTTTCTTTCTCGATATCACGAGAAGGCTTTGAGTAGCGCCTACTCACAAGATTATTGGAAGTCGTTGGTCTTGGTTAGTTTGGAAACCGGAACGACTCACATGCTTACAGTGCATACACTTGCCTGACATCCACAGCTCGTGCATGCGGGATTTCTCAAACGTGCGCGGACCATTTTCAAGCATCAACAAACAACCTGTCACACAACCAGAACTCCAGAAGATAACGACGTGATTAGAACTACTGTCACTGTCTTGAAGAATGAACACATGCGCACGCAACTGAAGCGATGTGGCGCATCATCACTTGAAATTGCCGTTGCTGAAGAGTTCATCGAGAGCTTGCAGCAGTGCTAGCCGTGAGGGTCTCCATGGCCCTTTCACAAATGGCACGCTCATCTGCAGGCATAGACCTAGATGCTTGCAGCTTGGCACGAAGAAACTCAATCGAATTCTCTATACAATTCTCTGGCATCTGCAACAAACATTCTGTATGTATGGCGCGGGCAGGCTTGCTTGTCTGGTAGCACATGCTGAACCTCAACTCGCCCTTCGGCACGCTCATGCCGCAATGGTAGCAGACCACCCCAGCGCGCTTGACGGTCGCAAGGTCCTGCAAGCCCAACTTCTCATGGTACCGTGCACGGCTGGCGTTGGCTGCCGGCTGCTGCGCAGGTTCCTGAGAAGGATCAGCAGAAGCACTACCTCTCGGTGCTTCCGCAACTGGATCAACTGCAGAGATTTCAGCCAAGGCATTGTCCCACTCTGCCTGCGCACCAGCACTCAACACAAGAGGAGAAGGATCAATTTCCGAAAGATGCTCCACAGCCATCCCACCCTGACGAGCAGAAGAAGAAGAAGCAGGCGCAGACCCCGATGATTTGCCACGTGGTCTTGGGTCAGCCTCTGCATCCTTATCAGTATCAGGTTTGCGGGAACGTTTCTTGGGCTGCAGCGTGGCCTCCATGCCAAACGGGAGACGTGTTGCTGTCGCAGCATTTGGTCGCTCTCTTGCTGGTGGCTGTTGAACACCATGCCCAATGACGAAGTCTGCTACCACATCTTCCGACTCAGGCAAGTTCAGCTCGCAGTCCTCCCCATCATGCACCATGTTGATGTCGCTGTAGACACGGACCTGCCCCGGAAGCTACAAAGGAAATGGAAGCAGAGAGAATGGAATTCATGTTGCCCCTGAGCGTGAAAGCCAAAGCCGCACTATCAAGAAAAGGTGTACCCAGAATCTTGAACGCCTTTTCATCTTGTCCTCTTGAATTGCCCGGACTGACGTAGACTTTGAAATGTGGACCTGAACCTAAACTTGACGCCGCGCAACTTCAGGCCACACGTCTTGGTCTACCGACTAGCGCCTACTTTCTATCGAGATCGTTCAATACTACTGAGTACTACTCATACTAAGACACCGCACAGCTGAGCCTGCACCCTGTAGTGTGCCACGTCTGCCCCGGACGCCTTGAACTCCTGGATTAAGCCACGTAGCCTCTGCTGCGCACTGCCAATGCGCATGCTGCCAGAGTCCAGAACCAGCCGCAATTTGATGCCTTGCTGGTACAAGCTGACCATAGAGTGACACAAGGGCCGCAGGCATACCCCAGCAAGCAAAAACCAATGTCCATCTTCAACACCGTGAACTGGCTGCCAATGCACGAGCAAAGCAGCTCCGCCTAGCTTCTGACGCTGCAGGCCAGCATTGAACTGCGAGGTCAGCTCTGAGAAGGTGTCAAAGCTCGAGTCACAGGCGCACGTCCCCGCGTGCTTCACACAGCAAGGCCTCAGAAACACTGGCGATGGCTGCGGATTAGGAATGATGTCCGCATCGTAAGCAAAGGCCTGCTGAAAGTACCTGGTTGCCGCATCCATTTCTCGAACGGTGCCAAGGACCTTCACGAGTGAACCACGTAGGCCTGCGTTATGGTCCCACAATGCCAGACCTTGATCCCAGCAGGAATGCGACGCAACCGACTGCAGTGTTTTGTCAAGGCGATTAGTGTTGAGGCGTCGCACTTGGGTAGCGCTTAGGTTTTGCGAACATTGGCTGGCTTCTTCAACAGAGCTCTTGCTCCCCCGAAGCCCAACTCGCTGCAAATCTTCTCTCTCCTTCTGCATTTTATCAGCTTCCAACTGATACATGCGCTTCTGCTCCCGGGACAGGGCTGCCCATTCCTGACTCACGTTCTTGTTTAACCGTCGATGCTCCAGAGACCCAACTTTACAAGTTAGATTGCGAGTCACGTGCAACTTCTGAAAGGCGTTGAAGGCTGAGATCCTGCGAGTCCTCCCAGAATCTTTCCGAACTTTGCCAGCCCGCACAGACCTCAGAACTGAACCCGAACAAAACATGCTCAAATCGTAGCCTTCCCGCAAAACTAGTTGACCCCCACCCCAATGCTTTCCTGCCTGCTGCCTTACTTAGTCCCCGGGACGCAAACCTAATTCAAACCCCTACATGCACCTTTACAGTACGGATACGCGTGCAACACCATCTACCGGTATACCGTATACCGTATACCGTATACCGTATACCATACTGATATTAGGGGGAGTTGGGAAGCTTTAACGTTGAGGGGAGGGGACATTATAACAAGAAAAGGCTAAGTTCCCTGCAGCATCCCCTTCAGCAGCCCATTTCTTCCCTTGACGCAGCCATTGTCATCCAACTTCGACGTCCGTCCGGCTGACGCTAGCAAGCCTGACTCAACAACTCGCGCCTTCAGCGCACGTCTGATCCGCGTCCTGGCAACGACAAAACTTTCTTTCTCAACCGCCTCCCGAACTTGTTGGTGCGACAGGAAGACGGAAGCAAGGTAAGTGTTGGCTTGAACAGCCATGGCACGCGGCGGTGCTTTCTTGGTTGCGTTGATGTCCACCTGTGCATTGGCGTGAGAGCGCTCCACCTCGACAGAGGAGGCTGGTAGTACCAGCAGAAGATCAAGAAACACCTCCTGCACCCGTTCCAGTCTCCTCAGGCGGGCTGGCAACTCAATTCCCGGTGCTAGTAGCCAGTCCATGAAGACCTGAGGGAAAATTACCCATCTCGATTAGATCATTACAGCAGGGCGGCGTGGGGAGTATTTCTTGTTTTTATGGACGTCCCTTGTCAGGACTTTAGGTGATTTGGGAAGGTGCCTGTCTAACACGATGACTTAACTTAGCTTAGATTACGGGAGCTTGTATTACTAAATTGTCTAGCGCCTCAGTTCCACCCAACACAAACCCTATAGTCACTATGTCACTAAGTCACAACTCACTGACCACTAAACCCTAGCCCCGGGACACCTAGCCTTCGCAAACATCACATCACTGCAATCCTGGCAGTGCTTGTGCCGGTCTTTCAAGGAACTCACGAAATCCAACGCTGCCTCGCCCGCCAACGTTACGACCTCCAGCAACTTGTAGCCCATGCCCTCGAACGGTAGCACAAGGCGACGCCAGGCGTCGCACGCTCCCATGAACACCTTCTCGACAGAATTCTCCTTTCTGATGCCAAGCTCAGGGTGCCAGGACTCATGTTGCTCCGGCTCACACAACATTGTGGTGTAGTCCTTGATCACGTCACGGCCAGCCGCGCCAGTCACCAAAGCCAGATTCATGAAGGCTACCTCTTTCCGGCTTGCCGTACAACGACTGTGAGGAAGCTCCAAGCCATAGCTTCTCAAACGTAAGCGAGTCTGGGCAGACTCGACCAGGGAGACCCTGTCCATGTAGTCCGATAAAGGACGAGTGGTGACCAGCACTTCACTGAACAGTACCTGTTCAAGCTCGCGACGTAAGATGGTTGAGCTGTCTTATGGAAGATAGGGCGTAAAATCAAAGAAATTGTTTTTTTTACCAAGTGTCCCCTGAGGATTCCTCATTCACCATCTGCTGGACCTTTGACATGCGAATCTTCTGTTTCAGGGCTGGATCTGCGTCTGCAGCGTCTTCATCCCACAGCTGCAAATCCTCGGGGGAGATCCCATCTCCTTTTTCGCTGCGGCACCAGCTCCACAGAGGTGGCAACAGACGATGGATAGCCATCGCCCTCCCTGTCCATTCTGCTGCGGGCTCAAACGCCTTCCACCTATAGAGTAGTGGAAGGTCGAAGAGCGATCCGAAAGTTGCTTGGAGCGCCGCAGTCTCAATTCAAAGTTGGCCGCATCATTGTCAGCCCTGAACCCTAACCGTATTTCCGTCTTTCTCACTAAAGGGATATTGGGCTCCTTGTGGATAAGCCACTGATGAGCTCATGACTCATGACTTGTTGCCAATCGACAGTAAAGGAAAGGCAAAGGGAAAAGATAACGAAGCATGAAATACAAGCCAGCGTTCCCCCAAAATTCCCGGCTCCGAGGCACTGACTCTCTTGCGGCAAACATCCTCGTCGCTAGTTTGGAACAGCAGAAATGGCTTCTGCGGCGCCGGGAGAATCCGGAGGATGTCACAGCTGTGATGCAGCATTTTTGCTTACATCACCAAGCTGCGCTTGCCAAGAGGCCATTGGTGCTACGATATGGTGGAGTGGCCACGGGATCCTTGCCAATATAGACTAGAATTGGACCGCTCCTGACTCCTGCCTCGATGGCTGGATAAGTCCTGGATAAGTTCATTCTGTTCCAACATCATGACCTGATATTTCTCCACTGCTTCCTTTTTTTTCAAAGCAAAGACACTCCCAATTGTAGATTGTAAAGTGTATTCAATTCACATGATGAATCGCCCGTGCCCCAGGATTGGTGCGAATGGCACACTGCGTGAAGTCAAGTTTGTTCCGGAATCGGATGGAGAAAGCACTGCAGATCCTGGTAAGGAATGCCCAACGGATTCCGGTGATGTCTTTGCCGCAGAGCACTCTCGATACGGTCGCCGCAAATGCGCAGAAGCTGAAACTATTCAGCAGCGGTCTTAGCGAGGACGCGCAAAGCATGATCCTGGCCGTTCTCAACGGGGACTGGTCAGAGCCGCGCGCGTCGCTCCAGGCACCCTTGGTCCACATATGCCAGGCGGGTTAACGGTTGAATGCGAAACACGTAAGACACTCATATCAGGGATGCTATACAAACTTCACGCAAAGGGGGTTTATCCCAAAAGAATGAACAGTAGTAGTAATGATACAATGATATTCTGAGCCGCCCTTGCCAGTGGCCACACAATAGGATAGGATTTGTCTATGTTTGGGGCGTGACGAAGTAATTCAAGAAAGGAAGGGCCCAATGCAAGCAGGACACAAGTCACCATGACCTTGATAGGTATCTTGCTCACAAGTCTGTCTACAGCTGCACCACCGAGGAGATCTGGTGTGCCCCGGCACGAAGCAAACGTCCAACGGCTCGTTCGGTCAAGCAATGTACCTGCATTTGCCTGCAAGGTGCGCGCGCCAACCATCACTTATCACTGATTACTGATTACTAATTACTGATTACTACTCTCACTTATCTGATCCGAGTTGTCATTGCATGAGTGCCCTACCGATTGAATGCCACAAATAAATAAATCAATGACACGGAACCTTGGGGAGAATCTGCGACGGACAATGTATTTGAATAGTCTCTGTTGCTTGAGGATTCTCATCGCCATACTTGTCCGTCCTTCGCAGAAAGATGTATTGAAGAAGACCCAGGAGTTGCGAAACCTTGGAGCGACTTTTCGTGGCCTGTGGGCAAAGCTCATCTGCATCAACAGTTGGTGCTGTAATCACATTGGTGTCATCGTATAGCCGAACCAGCAAACAATGGCCAATCTGGGATCTGTTCCCTCCCAAGACCCTCATTAATGCAGCGGTCTGCTCGCGCAAGTGCGAGGTCAATGCCACTGTTTTAACGCGGCCCATTGAAGCATCTTTCCGACATGTCAGAGCGAATGCGTGTAGCTCCCCCTCATTGTCATTGAATTCGGCAATTTCTTGCCTCAGAAAACAACAAACTCCAGATCAAGTGATGTCAACAAGCAGCAGGCACCAGACTTCCAAGAGCGTGTTGGATTTTGGATATATGCAATCGAGGCACACCTTTCTAGTGGAAGCCGAACTCTGACACCGACCCACCGTACTGAAGGCAGTTCGAGCGATTCTATCACCCTCACAAGTGACCAAGGTCTTGTTTTTCAGAGCCGCTCTCTGTACCTGCGCACGAGCCACGCCAGCCGCGACAGCTAAACCGTGCGACTTTCCGCGCGACCGCGCAGCATCTTGAGGCGTCCGCCCCTGCGCACAGACAACGAGACTCAACGCAACAACTGTTTGAAGCCTACATGCGCAGACGGTGCCTGGACGTCCTCAACTGCGGGAGGATTTTCACGCGCACTGCCTGCAGCGGCATCATCTTCTCGTTCTGCATTGCCCCGCTCAGAGGAGAAAAGACGCCACATGGCCAGCGCGACTGCAGAATGCACTTATTGAAAATCCAGCAAGCTACAAGCGTGCAAAGCGCAACGCTCTCTGCCAAACTTGTCCTGGAATCTACTTGTCCCCCTGCGCCACGCACATCTTACCTTAGACGTCCCCCTGCGCCCCACACATGCCGCCTGCTGCTCAAGAAGGCACTCTGCTACTGGGGCCCAAGGATATCAGCAGCCACGAGCACATGCACGATAAGCATATGCACCATGAACAGAATCATGGACACGGTCAGCCTCATGGTCCACCCTCATGGCTCGCGCTCAACCAACTTGGCAATGCAGCGCCAGCCTTCCTTTTTGCATAGCGGAATACACTCAGTAACTTCGCGCCAGCAGCAGTGATGCCAGGCGGTCACACGTAATGTTAATTGTTAAATGGAAGCAAAGCTGCTTGTCAGCACTAGCCTCGAGTTCTACGTACCTATAACTGGCAGCAGCAGCGAATGAAGAGCCCCATACATGGCCGATCTGCTGTCAGTCTGACGTAGACCGTAGACTAGATTTGAGATTAGGCTACAGCTAAGTCACTTCTGTTTCTTCGGTCCAGCTGTGGTGTGGGGCAACTCCTGCTCGCACTCGCAGTCTGATGAAGGCGGCAGAGGTGAGCCAGATATAAGATTCTCATCTGAATCAATGTCACCCGTGTAGCCTTCAAAGCGACCCTCGGCATCCCCGCTCTCCTGGGACTCCACGATGGAGTCTAAAGGACCAGGTAGACTGACGCCTCGGCGATGGCGAACCATCTGCCCAGACAGGATCCTCATGAAATGAGATTTTTCATGCCGGCCGTGGACAAACCAGAGGCGGAGTAGGAAGTCTTCTTCTGATCTCGGCTTTTTGCCAGGACGGAAACATCCCTCTAGCATGTAGACTGGGCCCAAGTTGAGCTCAACAGTGCCTGGCAGGCTGGAACCGCTGGCTACAGTCGCGCCGGCTGCTGCATTGGAACTGCAATAGTCGGAAGCCGATTTCGTCGCAGACTTCTTTGCAGGCTTCGCACTGTTTTTCACCATTGTAGACAGGTTATCCCTAGGCTAGACAGCAAGGCGATCGAGCCGAACTAAGACCAAGGCAGCTAGCCAGCAGTATCAGTGGCAAGCATGTGCGGCGTGGCGTCACTCTACCCACAACCCATGCATGCACGAGCCCCTGCCTGGAACCTGTGATCTGGTGGGAGGTCGCCTCTAACCCGCTGGAGACATCCTTGGTGCTACCGCAATCAAAGCTGCACTTGTTTCTCAGTATTGGCTCAACATTGTTGCCGTTTAGTTTGATTTTCAAAGTCCATCCCAGGACCTTCCTTGTACCCTTAATTGGGGATATATGGTCCCTAATAATAAGTACTTAGGCCCTAATAGAAGGTAGGAGGAGGGTCTAGGTCCATAAAGCCCCATACTTATCTATTTTGGCTTTTTCCAAGGACGTGTCTCTGAGCATATGCAGCGGTAGTACTTAGGCCCTAATAGAAGGTAGGAGGAGGGTCTAGGTCCATAAAGCCCCCACACTTATCTACTTTGGCTGTTTCCAAGGACTTGCCTCTGAGCATATGCAGCGGTATCATGCTGCAACTTCGCCAAGAGCCTTTCAGGACAACGTGATTACAGAGAATATACCCAAAACCAGGCAAGCGAAAAAGGAGCTTGCATTCCTGAGAAATGAGCTTTAGGCCGCTATGTGAGATGATTTTAGAGTACTTATGAAACCCTTAGCCCAGCGAATGCTTGAGATTATTAATAACTACATATTTACTTTCGCACCAACATACAGGGGACCGTTATTTTCCAAAACCACTTTCGCACCAACCTACGGGGGCCCATTATTTTCCCAAACTACTTTCGCACCAGTTTTGGAGGTCCCGAATAGCTATCCCCTAAAAAGCTATCTTAAGCATTCGCTGGGCTTCCCAACCTATAGATATTAGTATGTAGATACTAGGGTTTTCAGAGATGTGCACCCCCTGAGTGTAATAACAAGATAGTAAGCACCATTCTAACAGATATGTATAAGTTTATGTTTCATTACACTTGGGGTGGCGCATATCTTTGAAATGGTTTGTAAGGTTTATACTCTTAGGGGCTTTTGCTACGGCCGTGCGCGCGAATCTGCGCGCTTTGGCGCCAGCCCGACTCTTAGGGGCTTAGGGGTTTATACTTTTGGGGGTGTAGATATATTTTGAGGACCTCTCAGGATTTCATGTTTCTGGTTTGGGGAAACATATACCTAAGAAAACTTATGTTTGGGGGCTTATATGTTATAACTTAATATTAGGACTGTAACATGAAATCCTAGGAGTGGTCCTTAAAATTTAGGTTTTTTAAGTTTTTCAATC